TGACAATAGTATGATTGAGAAAAATTCAATATTTATTGTCAAAGTCAGAATAAAACATAAAAACATCAGACTACAGAGTGTTACATATACAATGTAAATTTATGCAAGTATAGAATCTAGCACTGCTATTCAACACTTTCCCTCAGTGCAGATTCTCCATGAAATTCGAACAAAACTTATTCATTAAATCTCTGCTAAGTGGTTTAGTCAACATATCAGCCATATTCTCTTTTGTATTAACATAGGTTATATCCACTTCTTGTTCCAATATCCTTTCCCTAACATAATGATAATGGACATCAATATGTTTACTCCTTTGATGAAGAACAGGGTTTTCCGATATATGAATGGCAGCTTGATTGTCACAAAATAAAAGTGCGCGAGTATTGATGCCCTTCAAGTCCCTCATGATATAAGTCATCCAAATAGCTTGTCTGCAGGCAGCTGATAAAGCCATATACTCTGCCTCTGTTGTAGACACTGCAACACATTGTTGTTTTTTGGTAGACCAAGAAACTAGAGCTTCTCCATAGAATCCGGCATATCCGCTATATGATCTTCTGTCATCGAGGCAATTCGCATATGATGCATCACTGAACATTGATATTTTTGGGGAATGTGTACTCTTGTAGATGAGTTTTCTCTTCAGGGTACCTTTCAAATAACGGAAGATATGCTGAACCATATTCTGGTGAACTGAAGATGGATCCACACAAAATTGTGAGAGAACATTAACTGAATAAGTTATATCGGGTCTAGTTCCCATCGAAAGATAAAGCAAACTTCCAATCTTTGATTGATATAATTCTTTATCAGTTCTTGGCTCTTCTGGTGTAGCTTTACTTGGTCTAGCACCAATATCCATCGGGGTGTACAAGGCATTACAATTAGACATATTATATTTCTCGAGAATTTTGTTAATGTAGTGCTCTTGAGAAATTGTAATGTGGTTTTCGAACCACTCGATATGAATTGATAAGAGGTATGTTGGTAATCCAAGCACGGTAACATCGAAGTTATTTTTCAAGACGTTTTCTATCGCATCTAACTTATCCTTGGTTCTTGAGAGAATCAGCAGATCGTCAACATATATGGCTACGATTTGATCGCGATCATCAGAAACGAAAAGACATGGATCTGCATTGGATTGTCTCAACTCAATGTCTCTGAAGACTTTCACCAACCTGGAGTTCCATTGACGTGGAGACTGTTTCAATCCATATATGCTCCTTTTCAAGCAACATACTTTCCCTGGTTCAGGTTTCAAGCCTTCTGGAATCCTCATATATATTTTGAAATCCAACTCACCATTTAGAAAAGCCGTTTTTATGTCTAATTGTCTCGCTAACATTTTATTATGAATAGCATGTGCAAGGAGTATTCGAATTGTTTCGTATCTTACAACTGGAGCAAAAGTTTCTTCAAAGTCAACGCCCGGTCTCTGACTGAAGCCCTGTGCAACTAATCTTGCCTTGTATTTTGGAACTTTTGCTGTATCTGACCATTTTTTCTTGAAAATCCAACGACAACCTACTGCTTTAGCTTCTGGTGGTATGGAAACTATGTCCCAAACATTGTTTTTTCGCATGGATTCAAGTTCTTCATCAATTGCAAGTTTCCAATTTTCAGATTCATTACAAGAAATCGCATCCTGGTAAGAAAGTGGTTCATCAATGGCTAGTTTACAGAATTCTTCTATATAACGATTAGGTGGTCTTCTTTCTCGGCTAGTTCGCCTGATAGGTTTGGAAGTTGATGGTTGCCTGTCCAACAATTCTTCCTCTGCTTCTTCTGCATTTTCTTTCATTTCCTTCTTCCTGGTTACAGCATGTTCACTTTCTCTTAGTCCTGAATCATCATATTTATTGTCTCTTTCAACTTCTGAATCATGTCCATTTCCGATTGCAGATTGTTCATTTCTTCTCTGTGGAGGAATGTAGATGAAATCTTCTTCAGGAGCAAATTTAAAATCTCTGGATACGACAACTCTACTACCATTCCAAAATCGGTACCAACCCAATCTGTCGCTGTAGCCGACCATTGCAGCATCCATTCCTCGAGGACATAATTTACTACCAGGTTTCTGAGCTTCTAGGGGAATGTGAATATACGCTTTTTGACCAAAGTACCGCAAGTGCCCTATTGTTGGTTTTTTTCCATAAAACAATTCAAAAGGTGATTTTTTATTGAAAGTGTGGGGTATGCGATTCTTTGTGTATACAGCGTGTGCAACAGCTTCTGCCCATAATGACTGTGGTAATTCTGAGTCGACGAGACTAGTTCTAGACATCGTTGTGATTGTTCTATTCATTCTTTCTGCTAAACCGTTGGTTTCGTGTATCCTTGGAATTGAATATTCGGTTCTGATTCCAACAGATCTGAAGAAATCTTGCAGAGATTTAGAACAGTATTCACCCCCGTTATCAGATTTGAAAAATTTGATTTTCTTTTCTGTTTGTCTTTCAATTCGTTTGACGAATTCAATCACAGCAGTTTCAACTTCATCCTTGGTTCTGATGAATTTTACTTCAGTGAATCTGGAATATTCATCAATGAAAGTGACATAATAAACCTTTCCGCCAACTGATTTTGTAGAGAAAGGACCTGCAACATCAGAGTGAATTTTCTCCAAGATGTCTGAGCATGAGTTAGCAGGCTCTCTTGAAATTCTTCTTGTGATTTTAGAAGTCTCGCATGCTTCACAATCTATAAGTGGTCGGTTTTTTGGCAGAGCATCAGGATCTGCTATAGCCTTTCCGAGTTCTTTGAAGGATGTTATTGGTAAATGCCCCAATCGTCTGTGCCATGTCACAATATTGAAATTTGACGATTCTATATGAGCTTCTTGGAATACATTTTCTTTGAACTTCGAAATCACCCAGCCAACAATTTTTCCATTCTTCCAGAGAGTTATATCCTTTTCACCTTTCATTGTTATTCCCTTGGTTTTCATCGTCTCCCAGGACATCAATGAGCATTTTAAATCGGGAGCATAAAGAACATCATGTAATGTCACATTGATTTTCTTACCGTTGGGCAACAAGGCATTCAGCTTAACATTGCCTATGTGAGTGATTTCCACCTGTTTATCGTTTCCTAATCGGATAGAGCCAGAGTGTGATGTGAGATTACAGAAAGCTTGCTTATTTCCAGACATATGAGAAGTCGCTCCTGTATCAAATATCCATTTCCACTTATTGATGGAGGATGTTGAAGCGGGATATGCTACTTCTTCATCATCATTATCTGAATCTGTTATGATGTTATTTGCTTTCTCTTCCTTATTTTTATTTCGGCAATTCTTCACGGTATGTCCTCTGTACCATTTCTTATGCTCTTTACAATAAACACATTCTTTTTGCGGATTTTTTCGTTCCCGTTTATCTCTGACATGGTATGCTTGATTATCTTGAGATAAAGATGTGGCAGTGGATAATTCCAATAACCGTGTACATATATCATCGTACGTTACATTTTGTTTAGTTTTCAAGTTATCGATTATATTATCCATCTCTTCTGGCAGGGTGGTCAGGAAAAACGATCCTTTGGCTTTCATAGAAACAGCTAATGGTCGGAGGGCGGCTTCTAGTGAGTCATCTTCTTCATTGAGAGTCTTTGAAGTTCTTTCAACTAGTCTAGACCATAATTCATTATATTTCGCAATGTGATCTGATATTGTGAACTTCGACTCACACCTGATACCAACAATAGATTTTACTAAGGCATGCAGTGAATATTCGTTTTTTCGATCGAATAAATCATTCAATACTTTCCACATATCCCAAGCATCCGAATAACACGTGATTTGCGGAGTTATATTGGTATCAACATTAAAAAGGATAAAGGCTCTACAAAGAGAATGTCTGTAACGCCAGTCCTCGCACTTCGCATTATAACTCCGTAGTATCTCAGCTGAGCTACTCGGTGAAGGTGGAGATCTCGCAGGATTTTTTTCCTCGCCAGTTACAATTGTATACAAATTATATAAATCCATATACGCGAAAACCATTGTCCTCCATGAATGAAAATTTGCCAAACCATGTAATTTCTCGAACTTCGGGAACTTGTCCATGATGTTTCTTCGCAAATTTCTCGAATGTTTTGATACTTCGTAGACTTGTTAATCAGCTTTGTTTAGTGTTATCGTGAATCACAACGAGCATGGGCCCATAACCTTTTGAATTCAGATATAACACAAAGAACTTGATGACAATAGTATGATTGAGAAAAATTCAATATTTATTGTCAAAGTCAGAATAAAACATAAAAACATCAGACTACAGAGTGTTACATATACAATGTAAATTTATGCAAGTATAGAATCTAGCACTGCTATTCAACAGAATATCCAGAATAATATTATATGAATATCTTTATATGACGGAGAATACAAATTCTCTACTTCAGAAGATTTTGTTTTCAAATTCTCATCGTGTGTGTTTAATAGATGTAATTCAATATTCATCGTGGCATATAGCCAGGAAAGTACTTGTTTTCTGTTGAATATACCAAGAAAGAATTAATATTTTCATCACATGTAGAATGCGAATTCTCATTGTTTTTGTTCATATACATATTCATTTTTTTCATTTTCATATATACCTGAGAATATTCCTTTTCAATTCTCTCAACTATAATCCATATAATTTCCTTCCTGATACAGTGAGGTGCATGGCTATCGATCAATTTAGAACATCAAATAGGGAGTTTCTATAACAGAAAACTGTTCTTATAAATTTCATGGATATATATCTGCCAGTGAAGTGCTAAGGAGACCCCATATTGTATTGTAGTATACTGTCTGAATGATTACTTGTATTTGTGTGTCAAATTTTGGAAGTATAATTTTTAAAATTCTGTTTTTGAACTGTGACGACTCATTGTTCTAGAAAATCATGACTTGTCACAAGCATCTCTAAATTTGTAACTTGATCAACTGAATATATTCTATTCTATTTTATGTATGATATTGCACTTCCGGGAGATACTACGTTACTTACCTTGAGTTTAACAGTTTCCACATTCTCGTATGTGAGCCACTCATCGTCCAAATAGGCATAGTTGGTACCATCAACTGATACTATGGTATAATCAACATACTTGTAAGTATCAAGCACCTAAAAAACAAAACAATTCTTCAATATCACCCAAATGCACTAGATATTTTTTCGAAAATATCATAAATTCATTTTGATCCAATTTGAAGGCTCATATTATTATCATTATTTGATATCTATTGGCAAAAGTCAGTCAGTTTCATTTGAAACGACGTAGATATGTTATATCCGAATAATGTTTTCGATATACCTGGAATTTCAGTAATAAACTGTAGATACTTATGAGTGAAATCAACTACTTTTGTTATGATACAGTGCGTCATATTCGATTAGACTCATGGGAAATATGTTTTTCAAGTTTCATTTGAAACTATTATTACAATCTCAGATATTATTATGGATGAAAAATAAATCCTGTTTTTGATTTCCGGGAATTCTAGTAATGAATCTTAGTCACTAACAAGTAGAATCAACCTCTATTGTGGAAATATAGTGCGTCATATTCAAGTAAACCCATCGTAAATATATTTTTCTTTCAATTTCAATTTGAAACTTTGTAGACATGTGATATCAGTTGTTATGATTGAAAACGAATTAATGTTTTTGATGTTCCTGCGATCTTAGTAATAAACCTCAATGAGTAGACAGCATAATCAACATCTATTGTTAAAATAAAGTACGTCATATCTAACTCAACTCATCGAAAATACATTTTTCCAAGCTTTTTCTGAATTTGAAACTATGGAGACATTGGATTCCAGATTGAAAATGTATTTGATGTTTCTCACATATTAGTTATAAAATCATACCTTAGTATCAAATTCAATTCATCATCTACGCAGAATGGTTCATCTTCTCATCCTTTCGGAAGCAACTCCGATTAATAAAATTTTCTCACCGAATCTTTCACGCAGCAGAATTATTTTTTGATAATACTGCTGCTAGTGGGATTATTAGTGGAAATTGATAACCTTGATATTAGAACAGTACTTCCTCTTCGTATGGAATGAATTCTTTTGGTAATGGCCTGATTATATTATTCAAAAGAATGCAGCATTTTCGCAGATCAGAACCATTCCATAAAAATGTAGTTATATGGTCAAATGATTATTGAGAATTGATTTGGAGAGCACGACAGGCTCACTATATATGCCTCTCATTTTATCTTTCTCAGTTCGTATATCACATATGAGGTGATTCTATCCAAATGCTCATATATACAAGGTGTCCCATCAGAATAACGTTGTTGAAAATAAGAAATGATGTTTTCATCTATTTGTGTGTCTGAAGATGCTTTCTGAGGGCGCTATAAGAGTCCTAGAATTACACAATTCGGTACCTCAGCATGATTTGATCTCAGAAATCGTTTCCTGATACAGAAAAATTGTTCGATATACAGGAAGGTGTGAAATTCGTTACCGATGCTATTAAATTGTCACAAATTTTCCTGTTTTACGATTCATCTTATTTTTGTTAACTTCAAAACATGGAAAAGGTATACTATTCAGAATGCTGTGAAACGAACCGTTTTCGAGATGAGGAAAGGGTCATTTTCCATTTTGATGTTAAAAAAAATATAACTTCTAGTGAATGACTTTGTGAAATTGGGTCAATTTCATATTATCATAAGAGCACTTACCCGATATCATGGTGAATTCTTTCGGACATCAAATTGGAGAATTTCATTTTCTCCAGAATTTTTTATTTCACAGCATTCTTACTGAACTTCTAACTCGAATTTCGCACTTCCCTGTACAGTAAATCATGTTTTTCGTACCACCAAACGATCCGCCCTTTAGAAACTTTCTCGGACACATGTTGATAGGAACATAATATTTCATCCTCATCAGCATACTTACCTTCCAGCCAAAGAATATGAATACTATTCTGGGACACTCGGTATTGAAACGACTATAGAATAATCGGATTTCCTCTGATAGGCAGAAGAATCGATTGATTTCTCTTCTTTGGTTTTCACCATTGGAAGAGATAAGGGAAATTTGAAACAACATTCCGATGAACTTATTTCATAGAGCTCAAACGTTTATCTAATTCTGCATGCACACCCTATACACGGTCATTCCATATAGGTCGAAGAAAACTTCGAATTCAAAAGTTGTAGGGTGTATTCAGAACCTCTAGGAAGTTGTTCCAGATAACCCAATCGAAAAAACTGATTTGGACTCTATTTTATCCTTTTGCGATTCCCATCTGTTCGATTGAATATATACGGGACAAAATATACGGTTACTGATGAGGATATGATATTCAAAATGAGTTTTACTCGATTTGAGCCATATAATCTGTTTGTGAGAGATATAATTCCCATATCACTGATACGAATGCTTATTTTGGAAGTTCCTAGCTCATCAAGATCAGAGTTCATACAAGTATAATTCTCCTTCACATTACAATTTTCATTTCAATACTGAACATATTGGTGAGTTTTATTTTCATTCATTCTATTCGATTTGCGAGATAATGTCAATTCTCAAATTCATTGGATTTTGATTTTTCATGCTCTCTTTTTGGATATTCATCAGATATAATTCATTGTTCGACGTGACGAATAGCCAGGACAGTATTCGTCTCCTGTTGAATATTCAGAATGATATTATATGCATATCTGTATATTAAGGAGAATGCTAATTATCTACTTCAGAAGATTTTGTTTTCGAATTCTCATCGTGTGTGTTCAATAGATGTAATTAAATATTCGTCGTGGCATATAGCCAGGAAAGTAGATGTTTTCTGTTGAATAAATCGATAAATAATTAATATTTTCTTCATCCATATATCCAGATGTTTTGTGTTCATAAATATATCAAATTCGAGAGTATTCCTTTTCAATACGGAGAACAGTTTGGAGATATTTACCTCGTAGTATGCAAGGAACCCGTCTTCTTTGGTGAAGGGGCCAGGTCGTCCTACTTCACCTACCGGAGCACCAATCCCTGTCTGGGAAGGGTCTTGCAATACGAAATTTCTTGCATATGCTGGCAAACCCAATATTAGCTTCTTTGCTGGTAAACCACCGTCTAACCAGAGCGAGACAGATTCATTCTAGAAATGATATTCTTGGTGGGTAAAATGCCATTTTCATAGTAATTCTAGCTTCCACCCGCGGCTTCACTCGCGCTGAAGCCCTTAAATGGATATCAGAAATTCATACATTCCATACTAGAACTAGATCAATGTGACGAACTTCTAGACAGATCTGATTCACATGGGTCTAGCTAGACCAGTGAATCTACAAACATCGAGATCAAGTGACGTCACCCACAATACTACGACCAAGCGATGGCTAAGTGATTTGTGTATCTGACCTCCACGGTGGTGACTGGGGCTCAATCCCTGCGAGGCGTCATTCTTTTTGAATTGTTTTCACTTAATTAATTCTTTAAAAATTTACTTCTCAGAAGGAAAGTTGATTTAGGACAAGTAAGGTTGAAAGTACTCTTTTTTTTTATGCATAATGAATATTTTCCTTCCTCATATTACCTTATAATTCCTGAAAACACGAATAATCTTCTGATAACCTTGAGGTTTGATTGATCCACTGGTCTAATTAGACGATTGTATCAGATTTCACGCTCCAGAAGCATTTCGAAGAAGAACAGAGTAATAATTAGAAGCAGCGAGTGAAAACTGAAACAATAAACTAACACATGGACTTCGGTCGCACGAATTCAATACCATACCCGAAATGGTCCACCGTTCCATATGGATGCGATGCAACAAATAATCCGTGTGGTAAGGATTATCTTTCCCCTATAGATCTGTTTTGTACATGGATTCGTCGGAAACATAATGGCCAATGGAGTAAGGTGCGTGCTGGGTAAATTAAAGATTCTGGATTCAGATCCTGTACTCCACCTACTCCTCTTTTCGGAGTGATCGAATAAAAAAGATACTGTGGAGGCATTTACTGTTGGGCCGAGAGCGATTCGTCATGTCAATGGTGTTCGGCTCTTGGCCAGATATTTTTTGTATGGCATCTGCGTGGATTATTCGTTGCGACCTGTCTCTAGATGGACCAATTCAGTTAGTATTGAATTAGCGCGTTTTGGTTGCGCAGAAGAAGACTAAGGACAATCTGATCGGTATCTTCATAGAGTATGTCTGTTGCAGTAAAATATTGAATTTGCGCCTGACAAACTTACATTTTTCAAATTATTATTAGAGATATAGAAAGTAGTAATACTCAGGTGGAAAGTTATATCTACGGATACGCTGAAGGCCCACTACACCTTTTTCAATTGTAATTCAGAAAGTGTAACTTGTAATTCAGATTAGTGAATTGTAAGTCAGAAAGTGTAACTTGTAATTCAGATTAGTTAATTGTAATTCAGAAAGCGTAATATGTAATTCAGAATAGATAATTGTAATTCAGAAAGCGTAATATGTAATTCAGATTAGTGAAATGTAATTCAGAAAGTGTAACTTGTAATTCAGAATAGATAATTGTAATTCAGAAAGCGTAATTTGTAATTCATAAATACTATGGACTTGAATAAGGGTAGGGAATAAAAATCAACGAATGGTTTATTTTGTGGTGAACATCAATATTTTATTGGTAAATATACATATTTCTCTCATTCCCATCACTATTTTATATTTATCGACCAACGGGCATATCTTGAAATGCCAGAGCTGCAGCATGGTGAATGGTAGTGTGTTGTGCAGCCCTAGCACCTCCAACAATTATATCTTTGGCCTGGTCAATACTCTGTTCAAGATAAACAAGTCGTTGTTCTCCAACACCCGGACCTTCAACTTGTGGTACTCGAAGATTTACTTTTACATGACACTTTATTTTGGACCATATTGTTTCGATTGGGTTCAACATTGGGGAATTTGAAGCTAAACGGAGAAGCCTTGCCTCAGTTCCGCCCAGAACGTTTTCAAATCTGGAATGGCAAGGTGCATTATCGCATACAAGGACAACATCCGATAATTGATTTCCTTGAGCTTGCCATAGCTGCAATAACCTTAGCACCCAAGCATTGGCTAAATCGGATGTGAAAGATCCTCTCCTCCTCTCAAAGTGCACTACACCTGCTGCCGATATTGCACCTATCAAATGAACATTGGGTCCCCTTGCAGAAGGAAGCTGTTGTATGGCTCTACCTCCCTTACGAGCACGTCCTCTTGTTCGACGGCAAAACAGGTTGAAATTCGTTTCATCCATCCAGATGATCTGTTTGCCTTCATGAATATATTCATTCAGTGTTTGGACATAATGCTCTCGTTTATTCTTATTTTCATCATTATTCATTGTCACAACTTCATTGTGAAACTGTTTCACCGTGAACAACCTGCCATCTAAATAGTTTCCGATCGTAGTAAATTATAAGTATTTCTGAAAGTGTTGATGAATTTTAGTTTTTAATTGCTTCAACGTGAAGCCATTATCATCTTCCACCCAAGAGATAATAGTATCGATCTCTGCATCTGTGAGGATTTTAGGCTTGATGCCTCCTTTTGGCAACATAATATCACGTCCAGATCGTACCCAATGGAATGCAGTCTTGTATTGTACCCCCAGCGACTCGGCTAAGGCAATCCAATCATCACCTTTGTTGGCGCATGCTACTATTCTTTTCCTATCCTTCGTACTATGCTGCTTATATCTGAGAAAAATGATTGATGAATTCTCCATTCACTCCAATAATAACGCTAACCTTTTTCTCTCGAGTAAAACATCTCCAGTGATCAGAATTCTGCAGAGTGGGCAGGTCGCATCAGGCATATTTCTCAATGGTTGAGCACATTTTTCATGGAAAAGATGCCGACACGGTTCGATTCTGATAACTACTAAACCTCGAGTCATTACATTTCGGCAAATTCCACAATTATCTTTGAAATTCATAATCTCACTTGTATGTGATAAAACAACAATATTTATACCTGTGAAATTCTTTTCAATTGCAATTTATTTGACATTTATTTGATATTTCGTAGTTACTTTCTATGACAACATAGCTTTGATTGTTGGTAACTTGATTTACGTTAAAGTCTCAAGGAGAATGGATGCATACGGGTTGTTCCTATTTTCTGAATCATAAGTGATACTTTCTGAATTACAATTTATGCTTCCTGAATTACAATTGTCGCTTTCTGAATTACAATTAACTATTCTGAATTACAAGTTACACTTTCTGAATTACATTTAACTAATCTGAATTACATATTACGCTTTCTGATTTACAATTAACTAATCTGAATTACATATTACGCTTTCTGAATTACAATTAACTAATCTGAATTACAGGTTACACTTTCTGAATTACATCTTATACTTTCTGAATTACAATTGAAAAAGGTGTAGTGAACGGTATTTTTTTAGTCGACTGTTTGCCTCGTCATTCGTGATTGATCGCCACTAACAGGCGACTTCAAATCTGCTACCGAACGCGCGATTGTTTGCCGACTTCGATAGGCAAGTGGACTGATTTTTCATCATTCAAATATGGAACCATCATCAATCAATACTTCAAATCTTCTGCTGAAGATGCTGACATAGTTATCGAAACACGAGTTAAAGCGTGTATAAAATCGGTTTGATTAGTGGTAAAACAATGTAGTGTATAGAATCATCACTCAATTACCTCTCATTTCCAAATTTTGTTCGATTTCAAGATCAACAACGATGCTACAGTGATTTTCGAACGGGTCGAAATTCATCGACGGCACAATTTCGTGAATGCAATACGATTCTTGAAAATGTTTTCAATTCAATTTTAATTTCTTTTTCTATATTTCGACTAGAAGATGCTACGGTTATTTTGAAACAGCTAGAAATTTCCAGCGAATAAAAACTGACGTCACGATTTCGTAGGTGGAGGCAGACAATAGCACAGTTGCAGATTCTCGAACATTCTTTCAAGTGGGATTTCCCTTCTTTATTCTAACTCAAAGAATCCTATCCTGGAATTTTTCGCAGTATCGATGAAAATCTTCAGGGTGAATAAAAATAAAGGACAAATTATATGTGGAATAGCATACCATAGCGCTCATTGGAGAGGAAAGTCCAGTCTTGTTGGACGTAGAAGGAACATAATCATACGCCATCAAGTGCACATAGTCTACTGTACTGAAAAAAAAAACAATAATCATTCACTAAACGAATTATCATATTATGAATTATTACTATCACAATCCTTGAGATACTTATTTTTCTTTCGACTATGGAATGTTTCATTTTAATCCCTTCGAATTTCCTTAATTTCACTATTCTTGTTATAAAAATGTTCAGAAATTTCCCAGATTCCACGTTCAAGTCCATGAGAAGATGGCACAATATTTCGTTGAATTATCCAACTGCTCTCTACAAGAATTTCAGAAACGAAAGTTGATCAAGAGGCCCTCTCAGAATCCAAACAAGCAGGGGCTGCTCGCAGAAAGAGGTTCAATCCCCCTAAATGAAGAGTATCACATAAAAAGAACAAATCTATGTGCTGACCGACCTCTGCGTATCTTGTCAAGGCCATGCTATTGTAATTTTCATACTCGCAAAGGATACATTCGAAGAATTTTCTGATAAATAATTCAGATATGATAAAACACTACAAAAGAATAGTATGAATCAGTAGGACACTAGTAGCCTTCAATAGGAAGAGGAGATCTGATCTCAAAACCATCACGATATAGGTATGACAGACATGAAATGGAAAAAAGAGGTTGAATACTCGAGACCAATCCTGGCCCAAGAACTTTTCTAGAAAAAAATTAAAGAAGGAAGTAATCAACAACGCCCGAAGGCTGGAAGAACCTGGTGATGTTCCTCTAGAACCCTTGAATGGATGTACACAGCAATAGTGACACCTATCATCACATATGGAGTAGTAGTCGAGACTCCACGAAGACTAGTATCACGAGAGTTCAGTGACTAGCATGTGTATGCATTACCGGAGCAATGAGGACGTGTGTGCCGCAATGATGGTCACTGTAGATATCTCACCTCTACATTCAGTTGTGGACATTGCGGCAGAGAGATCGAGTATAGAATTATCAAAAAAAGACTGGTTGAAGGTAGGCCAACCTGCCACTCAACCAGCAAATCTGGGATTTGCCTCAGCATGAGATAAAGAGGGAGTACAACTTCGTGAAATAATCCACCACGAGGCTGATGAGCTGCAAAAAAGAATGAAAATGTGAATGCATTTTTATTGAGCTCAAAGAAGAAGTCATGAAGTTGTACACAGATAGCTCCAAAACCGAGAAGAGTACCGGAATAGGAGTGAACGAGCCTCGTACCAAGTACCTTGAGAACGGGAACACACAAATCACCAGAATGTAAAATCGCAGATCCGTAATCCATCAGAATATACATTTTCAAACCAGTAACTTAACAGAACAATATTTTATAGGAATCGTATTTATCTCTACTGTAGATGCACAGAACCGCAATCCCTCAAACCGTATTTTGTATACTGTACATGAGCATACCAGACAATAACAGATTGCAAATGCGCAGATGTGTATTTTTCTATAATAGCAATATCACAGATCCGCAAATATACAGAATCGAAAACTAACAAACCAACATCACAGCAGAATGATATTTTGTCAGAATCATAACAACACAGACCGTAATTCGTCAGAATCGCAGAATGACAGACCGCACATTAGCAGACCGTACTTTGTCAGAATCGAAATACAACAGACCGTTTATCGACAGAATAGTAAAATGTCAGAACCGTACATTGACAGAATAGCAAAAAATCAGAACAGCATATTCACAGAATCTCAAACTATCAGAACTGTAAATTGAAAGAATCGTAAAATGCTAAAACCGTACATCGACAGACTCGTAATACAACAGACCGTATTCCATCAGAATCATATTATATCAGAACGTACAATGACAGAATGTACTTCATCAGACTGTAATGTCATATACTGTATTGTGATAGAATCGTAAACTATCAGAACCGTAATTCAGCAGAATAGTAAAATGTCAGATCCGTAAAATAACAGAATCGTAAAAATTCAGAACCGTACATCGACAGAATCGTGAAATATAGGAACTGTACGTCAGCAGAACCGTAAAAAATCAAAACCGTACATTGGCAGAATCGGAATTCATCAGAATGTAATGCAGCAGAACCGTAAAATGACAGACTGCAGAGAGGCCTACCAGCCACGCGCAGAGCGAACGCCGGTCACAGTGTTGCCTGCTCTCACGTCATGTGGGGATTCTACGTAAACTTTCAGTTCGACCTGCTTTTATGTTCCTATTGCTCTTGTACACTCGAGAATAAGATCGTTTATATGATATGAAGTGATGAATGACCACATTTCAATATGAAATATATGAACGTCACCCAACTTTTTTGCTATATGGAGAAGAAAGTGTTTATTTGAAGTATTTTCTTAAAAACTACAATTCCTTGGAGTCAGTTGAGAGAAGGGTTCGAGAAATAGGTGTTTGGCATGTTACAAGTGTTTGGGATCACACGTTAAAAGGTATGGCCCCCGTCATTCCTTGCTCGCACAAGACTTTCGAAGACTTCTGAGGGTTGCTCGTAAGGGGGCAACCGAATGACGGATAAAACAATTTTACAATTTTTTTTTTACAACAAACTTTGGAGTTTTCAAAGTTTGATTATAGATACAAGATATTGGATGTTCTTTATATGAATCTATATCATACCCAAATTCATTCATTTTGTATTTTGTACCCATATTTCTAGAAAAAGGAAGAAGGTGATACGAAACTAGATTGAAATCGAGCTACGGAATTTAGTTTCGAGAATTCTTTATTAACGATAATTAGTGCGGTGCTGTAGATAGGGATTGATGAAAAAATGCTTATACATACATACATACATATGGAAGCCATTGAATAAACGTTCTTGTAAAACTCACTATGGAAGCTATTAAATAAACGTTCTTGTCTATCTGTTTCTCGTTCTGATCTATATCAGGTGACCTTGGACCATAGGCGCCACCAGATAAAAATAGGATATAGGGCGGACAAAATTCGAAGATGAAATCGGGTAACCTACGAATGAAAACTGAGTGTGAATACTCAAAGCTAATATTAATCTGTGTAATTCTCGAAATGTCATCTCCAACCATTCAGAACTTGAAGACTAATTTTCCATGATATTGACCATATCCACTCGTCAAAACTGAACCCATCACCAGTTCCTAAGCAGTTTTTTGAACAGCCTCTGTGAATCTGAGATAGAACAATCAATAAAACAATAATTGATCTTCGCATTGTCGAGTTTAGACGAAAATGTAGTTTACCAAACAAATGCCGAAAGTCATACTTTTCCGCACCTGTTTATTTAGATATAAAGAAATACATAGAGAACTCGCATTCGGTATGTGATGAAATTATCAATTCTTTCTCAGTATATTTAACAGAAAACAACTACTTTCCTGGCTGCGATTTTACTAAATATACTGTACGCTAGCACAAACCACGCCGACCGTAATATCTCATCTTCGAAGTACTTAGGCAAAACTCAGAAACTATTTATCCTTAACGAACTAACCTATCCCTGATTGCGATATTTTTGTGGGAGGAAAACCGAATGGAGTGTAGAAACACATTGATTAATAATATATTTCAAAAGTTGAGTTCTTCAACAAAATTGAATAAAATGAGACTGTTTATCCTAAACGCACTAACCTATTTGACTTCAAATATTTTATGAAAAAGGAAAACCAGAATGAAGTAAAAAAACAAAAAAAGTTGCAAAAAAAAGTTCAAGTTCACAGCGATTCGAACCATGCACCTTCAAGTCGACAGCGCTAACCAGTAGACCATATGGGTGTATGAATTTACTGCGTACAGAAAAAAACATGTTCAACACAGAAGTGCATTTGCAAAACAGAGGATGTATTTTGTTGTACTGAATGTAAATGTAACGCTCATTATAAGAATATTGAAAAATCCGATGACGAAGACCATCAATAAATGTACATTGTTTACTTTTCTGTAAGATGTTTCTTGTAAAAACCGCCTAATTTGCATTTGTGACAATCAACTAATCAACTATACATTCGAAGATATCTATTTGAATATAAATTGATCACCATATCTTCCATTTCGACAAAATGAGCATATTTTAATGAAGAATACGGTCTAAGCGCGCGACGAGTGAAAGTTTCATCGATCGTTACGCTTAGAATGGTTTATTGATTTTACATTTTTGCTCCGACGAAACGCCTCGACTGTGGTGCGCTGTCCTAAAAATTTAATTGCAGAACAAAAACTGTTAGGAATATCCATACCATTGATCGAGATGAAATGTTCCTCATAAAATTACGCAGTTTTTGATGGGAAAATATGATGTAGTTCATTTGGAAAATAATCGAGTTCTTGCTTGTTGAAGATTAATGAAATATTGAAAAATTATATAGGATAGTTTTTGAAAGTGGTGAAATTTTTAGATATTCTGATGATAAAATATGAATTGTCAATACACCATTCGATTGGTTCAGGCTACAAAATGAGCCCTCATATGTTTTTTTTAGCTTCATCCCCATTATTTTTAGACTGCTATTTTTCAGACATATTGAAAAACGCGATCTTCGTACATTTTTCCCTGTAGAAAATCTCTCGACCATGGGGCGATGTCGTAATTTCTCATTATATATGTGGATGATGATGACAAAAAATGTCCTTGATGTTCAATTAAGTTATACCCCATGATTGGGTTATTGAACGATAGACCGCACCGTCTGACGTACTAAAACATGTTCCATTTCTATTTTGAATACGGAAGCAAATTCGCTCCGGAAACGTCAATGTGAAAATGTACCTAATATTTTTATGGTATTCTTCCTTTTTCAAACATTCTTCAAAACAAGGTGTCACTCGTTTTTCCAACAGAATTGAACAAGGATTTCGAGAAATTGGATGAAACCAAAATTGTAGTACTTTTGATCCCGATGCGAAAAGTTGGTAGCTCGACCGGAGTAGGCCAGCTAGATTTCGAAATTAAAAAAAAGATTACATTCAGTATTGAGTGATATAATAAATAAGGAGAGTACCGTAGGCGATTTTTTCCTTATTCAAGGTCAAATGAGAATTGGATTTTCTCGAATAAGTGATTATTTTCACCAAAATCATGA